CCTCATTTAAAAAGGTGCTCATTCCAGAGGATGAACTCAAACATAAAACTGAAATATAAAACAGTGCAAGTCGAAAGTCTTTACTTATGTGGTTTTCTAGAAATACTGAATGCATTTCTGAAATGCAGGTCCACCCTCAACGTAAACAAATCACTCGAATGAATGCACTGAAAACCACACAGAAGCTTGGTTGACCAAAAACTGACAGTCTATAAACAAATATGGTGGAAATGGACAAGAATCTCAGCCGTTTAGGTAGATTTTTAGTGAATCTGCTGAAAAATGCAAAAGAAACAAGAAAGAAAGTAAAATAATAATATTAGGGACGTTTGACTTCTTCAGAGTCACTTTGGTTCGTAAAAACAAATGCACAGAGCGTCCAATCACAAAATCGTGCTTGCAATTTTTTTATTTAATGACAAATTAACCATCAAAATATAATTTTAAAAAATGCTGCAGGAAGTTTATAACTTCAGGATGTGTTTTTGTCTGGTCCTCGTGACTTTTTAAACAGAAAATCTAATTGGTCAGCTGTCTGCAGTTGTTTCTCATGGATGTCAGTGGTTATTATAAGTGTAAGATTATTTATTGGGTGTGGCGACACAAACCAGTCAATTTGCTGCTTATTTAACAGACTGCGTTATGCTGACAGACGTTCAGGTAAAATCGTCAGCATCAGGTGGTAGTCAGTGACCTGGACCCTCAGTTCAAAGCCTGACAGAGTGAAATGCTCCTGCTGGCTCGTGCACGTGCACCAGAAGCTTTTGTTACTTCCTCGTGATGGAAGGAAGTGGGGGTTTGCTGTCATTACACACCGTCTGCTCCCTAATTCTCCCCTCCAGACCACAGCGGAGGGCGCACATCTGTGGCGTCTCAGTTACAGACAAGAAGTCGCACGCGCGGGCGGACACGCACGCACGCACGCACGCACGCACGCACGCACAGGGCTTTCTCATCAGTGTGACCTTGGTCATGTATGCTCAGGTCACCTCGTGGTTTTAAAAAATAATAATGCAAATATATAAATAAAAAACACCGGCCGTGGGTGAGTCCAAATTGAGCACAACAAGTGCTCAAGTGGCTGTCTCGCGGGCTGTCACCATCCCGCCACCTTGAGTGGACGCAGCGCCTCTTCACCGTGCCAGGCGATGCTTTTCGGCGCGTTTTGGTGAAAGACATCCAATTACAGAACATGTTATCCTTAGCTTGATGGAGCGACCCCCCCACCCCCACCCTCCCATGTTTGACATCAACACTCAAGGGCGTCTGGAAACCAACGCGTAGAGCTTTTTATACAAACTGGAATTAAAATAAACCAACAAACGATGAAATCCTCTGCTCACCTTTGCTGCCGTCTTCTTCTGTGTTGAGATGCATGACTCTTGTCACTGTGCACTCATTTAGGCTGTCTTCTTGCAACAATTGCTGTGCTCCAGGTGAACTCTTATTCCAGGTTAATTTTTGGTTCCTTTTTTTCTTCCCCTGGTTAGGCTGGCACGCACGGACGCGTCTGCGCTTCTTGTGCGTCCTCCACCTCTTCTTCGCTCCTTGTTTGGAGCAGGTTGTCTGTAGGTGAGGCTGGGAATCTGGATCACTTTCTCTCTGTGTGTAGTCGGAGCCCGAAGTCGCTCAAAGGGGCTGGTCGCTGCAAAGGTTTAAAGGAGGAGACGGGAGGCAGACGGGCGGGGTGACGTGAAGTAAGTCGGTATGAGGCGAGGAATCCGTGCGCCCTCAGTGCTGCTGACCATTTCACCACAGGTCCTAATTAGTACAGCACTCAGAGGCTCTCTCTGTGAGCTTTGGACCTCATAAATTGGGGTAACCATATGCGTAATATCTACGCTCCTGTCAGCTTCTGTTTCTCTAATTTAATTTCAATTAGCGGCAAAAAACCATGGTCATGAAGTGCAACATCAGAAGCWTGTTGCAGCCACTCTCTCTGTGTGAAAGGGCAAAGAGCCCAAGAAATAAAGACTGACAGGTGTTCCTGTTTGGAATCCTGATCATCCTCCTGTCGGTGGGCTCCACAACTGAGTCAATAATCAGAGAATCACGTGAGAATTTCTGCCAGGATGCCTTTTTACGCACAACCTGCCCCAAGTTGTAGTTTAGGTTTAAATGGGTTTGCTCACGTGTTGAGCCCGCGTCACGTGTTTCACTGGAGTCATTGTCATGAGAAGCCAGTGCGCCTTCATTATCATCATCATTCCGTTTCAGCCAATAGGCCCACACAGCCGATAAGGAGCATTTACTCACCATTCACGTCCGCCCGGAGCCGCGCGCGTAAAGTGGCTCACTGCTGACCTCTAGTGTTTCATATTCATCAGCTGCCAAAATAACGTGTCCATTATTAGAAAGTGATGAATATTTAAAACAGCCGAGGGTCAGTAGTTGGTACTATTTTAAGGCTTTTACTAACAGAAATTTAACTTCAGATAAGTAACCATCATTGACACATCTGGGTTAAAACTGACCTGTATGTGATCTAAAAGTGAACATTTATTAAATGTAAGGCATATTGTTAGACATCTTTACTAAATGAATTAAACTTAGCTAATCAAAACCTAGTTCATCTACTACACTTTTACTAAATCTGTTTTAGCCTGGATCACCTGTGCCCATCCTGGTCCTGGAGCCACAGTCCTGTAAACGTTAGTCGTTTTCCTGCTTTTCAGCATGCATTCAAGTTCAGATCAGGTGTGTCAAAACAGAGAAGCGTCTCAGTGTTTATATTCCTCCCCCATGGTTACAAAGTCTTTGACTGACAGAGTTCTTGACATGTTTCTTTACTTTGATACATCTAATTTGAATGAAAGAGTGATTAATGGACTTCTGCAGGACCTGAAGAAAAGCTAAAGAAAAACAACAAAATCTTGCAGAAAAGTGGTCCTTGAGGACCAGGATTAATGCTTATCTCTAGTTCACAAATATCACTTGTTTAAAATTAGTACTTTCAATAATGTTAAATTCTTCAAAAGCCAAAACGTTAACTTTGCAGTGTTCCAAGCATTTGTGCAAAGCATGTTTGCAAAAGCTTTAAAATGTTCATTTGACTCAGAATAATGACAATAAAACTCCCAGAACAAGTGTTTAAAAGAAGATAGAAGAGTTTATTGAAGAAAAAAATACTAGTATGTATCAACATAAACTATTGTTCAAATGATGGACCTGATCCTGTTTTTGTTTCAAAGTTTGAGTTTGTGAACGACTTGTTTTATTATTATTTGAATTTATTTTAGAAAAAGGGGTAGCTTTTGTTTTTCTTCTCCCTCGTTTCATTTATAGTGTTTTGCTTTTTATTGGATGTAGATTTTTTTCTTGTTTTTTATTGAATAAAATAAAATAAGATAAAATAATATTCAATGTACTGTGTGTTTGTATTAAACTCTCTGTTTAATAAATTGCAGGTAATGAATTTGGTTGTCATTCTGACTCCTGGCCTCTAGGTGGCAGTACTGCTCTAACTGCAATTTTAAACTAGTTACTTTTAGTTGGGATTTTACTTTTGGGGTCCATTTAGAGCAGTTTTGGCTTAGCTTTTACGAAATAAAATCACCTTTATATCTTTAAAATGTATGCCTGAAATGTAAGCTGGGATCATTTTATTTTTATTTGTGTTGTTGTTGTTGTTGTTGTTGTTGTTGTTGTTGTTGTTGTTGTTAAAAAAAAGGAGCAGACAGTGTCCCTACAAACCCAGGAGCCAGGCAGAAAGAGAAATCACACACACGACAGGCCCTGGAGCAGTGTGGTTATCCTGACTGGGCTTTCCTGAAAGCAGACAGGAAACACAGACAGGATTCCATGCAACCTTCAGGTGAAAATGAAGACCCCAAACCCAGACCCAAACCAGTGGTTATTCCGTATGTTGCGGGTGTTTTGGAGAAACTGAGATATTTATTTTCTAAACATGATGTCCCAGTAGCTTTCAAACCCCAAAACACATTACGGCAAAGGCTGGTTCACCCCAAAGATCCGGTGCCCCGGCACAAACAGAGCAATGTTGTATATGCTGTTAAGTGCCAGGAGGACTGCGACCAGTTATACATCGGGGAAACAAAGCAGCCACTGTTCAAAAGAATGTCCCAACACAGACGAGCTACATCTAATGGTCAGAACTCTGCAGTTTTCACTCATTTACAGGCCAGCGGTCACTCTTTCAGAGATGAGGATGTTCTCATTCTTGATAGAGAGGAACGTTGGTTTGAGAGAGGAGTAAAAGAAGCCATTTTTGTGAAGAAAGACCGTCCATCATTAAACAGAGGTGGAGGCCTCCGTTTTCAGTTGTCCCCCTCCTACAGCGCGGCTATTGCCAGTATCACCCCACCCCCTGTTAACAATAAGTGTTAATTAGGTGTAAACGATAGCCATGTGATGTATCAGTCACATGGAGGCAGGGCTTAAAAGCCTGAATTTTGCCTGAAACTCTCAGACTGAAGAAGTCTCTTGGAGGAGAAACGAAACGTTTCATTAGAGAAGAACCCGTCCAGAAGACCTACACAATTTTTTTCTTTTTGATTTTTTACCTGGATTACTGAGATGCATCAGGACGTTGTTGTTGTTGTTGTTGTTGTTGTATAGCTTTTATCAAGGACATTTACAAAAACCACAAGGAGGCTTGACTTTGGAACAAAAACCAATAATGATCTGCTGCTGAGTGGAGCACAGACTGAAGGAACAGGGTTTGATGAGTAAAGTGGACACACATGGGCTGAGAAGACAGGTGAGAGTGGGCGTGCCAGCACGACTGGAGCAGAAAACCACTAAATAAAAATCCAATTCAACCCTAAAACACAAAACCAAAACTGAGAAAATGGAATAAACTTGATTTAAAAAAAACATCACCTCTTAGCTGTCCTCAGTTTCAGCATGCCACTGTATTTTAGCTGTAAATCAGCTAAAAAAAAAAAAAAAAGATCTGTGCGCTGTAGTGGAGCACGCGCCCGTCGGGCGGGGGTGGCTCTCGCGCAAACCAGACAACTGCAGTGCTTTGGTTTTATCTTGTGCTCGTTCCGGGGCGGCTGCGCTCCCGTGCGCCACAGTGATGATGATGATGACGATGATGAGGCACCATGCAGCTCCATCCCTCACTGAGCCGACGAGGAGGTGACTGATCAACACATGACACTCCCCAGGTAAGACATCTTTAAAAAACACGACAGTTCAGCCTTTTAAACGTGTGTGGTTTCTGTAAAACACTGAATATTCAGTCAGAGAGGACAGCCTTATGCTCATCATCATCACCACCATCATCAGCGGCAGTGCGCTGAGCTTCATCAGCAAACGGTTCTTTCTGTTTCCACGTCGTGTATTTATTTCCACGTTTACTCCGTTTTAAAGGTCAGAGCTTGGTTTGGAGTCTGTCCCGACATGATTTTATTTTTCGGTGATTCATCAGTGCGCAGCTCAGTCTGCTCCCTGAAATCATCGATTCTTCTGCTTATTATGTAAAAAAAAAAAATTTAAATAAAAAAAAGGCTGTATCAGGTCTGAACACGGTTCGTGTCACAGCAAGTTCATCAGTAAATGTGTTTGAGCTCGTCTTCATGGCTCCATCTGCTTGTTTTCTTCTAAATCTGCCCAATCATAAATGCTGTCCCCTTCTGACAGTTCAGGAAAGTGAAAAAAACACTGAAGCAATTGAACGCCTCTCTGTATGTGCTGCTGAAGCTGTAAAGAGCCTGATGAGGCGTTTATGTGTCTCCTCATCATGTGGATGTGTGTATCACTCAGTCCCAGGCAGCTACGGGGAGGGCCAGTTTCTGTCTGAATGTTCTTTGTTCAGAGGGAAGCAGGGGGACAGTGGAGGCTTTCAAGCATCTGTGTCCAAGAAAACATTTTAGCATCACTGCCTTTTGTCCTCTTCCTCTGAGCTGCCAGGTCAGGTCTTGTTTTATTGTTTTTTGTCACAACGGTGTGATTTCTGACCCCGGATTGGTGCAGAGTGTCTCATTTTCAATGTGCTGTGTCAATATTCTGATAAATTTCCATTTTTTTCACCACTTAAKGGGGACCTATTATGCAAAATTCACTTTTTAAAGTTTTTTTTTCTTAACTTTGGATATGTGCTTCTTAAAAAAACAGTCATAGGACCAAAAAAATGCACCCAGGGGCATAGTTACTGTAAGTAAATGCATTTTTAATGTATCCTGATGCATCTCAGTAATCCAGGTAAAAAATCAAAAAGAAAAAAATTGTGTAGGTCTTCTGGACGGGTTCTTCTCTAATGAAATGTTTCGTCTCTTCTCCAAGAGACTTCTTCAGTCTGAGAGTTTCAGGCAAAATT